TGTCATTTTAACTCAGGGGAAAAAAAGAGCAAAGCACCAAGCACATGTATGTAAGAAATAGTTCACTTATATTTACAGTGTAAACATTTATTGTTAAATACTGAAATTAAGCAACCAGTTCTCTCTCTCTTTCTTTCACTTCAGAGAAGTATCTTCACCTGAGAAACAGACCACTAGATTTTTCTTTTTCTCTAAGAATGATGAGAGACTTCATGGTAAGTCAGCATTTGGCTGAATGGTATAGGACAGATAATGGTGCACCTCTCGCTGCGGTGCTTTCTGATACAGTAACATGCACCCAAGTAAGAGCCGATGGGGAAGACTCTGATCCTTCGCGGCGTCACGTGCCGTGGCCCCCTCGTCAGATGCATGTCGGCTTGTAAAGCACTGGAGGACTGAAAGCTCTTACTCACCCCCTCCCTCATTTGTTCGCTGTCAGTCAGCAAGGGCTGGTTTTGTTCTGGGGACCTACTATGCTAGACAGACAGAATTCCTAAGTTTTTAGTACCTTTCTAAAAAGTTCACTTGAAAACTCTGAGACTGTTGATGAATCCTGAGCCTAACACAAACAGAAGCCAAGTTACATCATAGTAAATGGTTTATAAACAATAAAATCCTAGCAGATCTACATTTTCATTTTGTAAAGAAAACAGAATGTATTTTTGAAAATTAGCATAGATTGGGGAAAATGGTCTTAACTAGAATTGAAGACCTTGATAATGCCTCAGAATAGTGTCTGGTTTTGGTATTAATGTGCTGCCTCGTCCTTCTTTATTTACCCCTGCTAGGTTCTGACTTATTCTGGAGGGGAGTGGGAAGTAATGTTAGCAGGAGTTCCTGGGAGGCCAGAACAAATAACTTGCGTATGGTGAGTAGTTGTAGCTCCATATTGTTTATGTCCTAAAATAGATACAGTGTTTTCTTTGTAATGTTTGCCTGGTACAAGAGTAACAGGAAGGTATGAAACTTGAGATGGAAAGGATGACAACTGAGAACCTGATTTAAATGCTCAGAATTAAGCATTTGCTGGAAGGGAAGTTAGAAGTTGTGTAATTCATGGATGGACCTAGAGATGATCATCCCAAGTGTGGTAAGTCAGACAGAGAAAGACAGATATCTTATGGTATCACTTACGTGAAATCTAAAAAAATGACACAAATGAACTTATTTACAGAATATAAACAGACTCACAGACATAGAAAACAAATTCATACTTACCAAAGGTGAAAGGCATGAGAGGGATAAATTAAAAGTTTGGGATTAGCAGATACAAACTATTATATATAAAATAGATAAGCAATAGGGTCCTACTATACAGATTAATATATATTCAATAGCTTGTAATAACCTATAGTGAAAAAGAATATATATATATAAAACTTAATGACATGCTATACATGAGAAACTAACATAACATTATAAATCAACTATACTTCATTTGAAAAAAAAAAAAGGGAGTTGTTCGATTCAAGCCACACATGGTGCGGTAAAGAGACTGGAGGGTGACCCCATTGAGTGACAGGTCCAAATTCCAGGCCATGTTCATTGAGTAACAGAAAATCATGAGATTTCTGAAAGACTGAATTAGTTTCCATGGTAAACAAAGCCAAAAGTTTGAGTATTTCCTGTATATTCCAAGTGAGCACTTCCAGAATGGTTTCTACAACCATGACACTGAATAACTTAAATTTTACTTTATAGTTACTGAACACCTTGAAAATTATTTACATTTATTTTTAACAAAGGCTTTTGATTTTGTTTTTCTAGGATTGTCGGAAGAAACATAAAGATGCCAAGAGGAGAGTGAAACCAAAATAATAAACGTCATTATTAGTTTTGATACTGAATGTGAACAAGGCTCACCTGTGGAAATAGGGGTGATCTGGAAGACAATTTTAGCTGAAAGAGGAATTCAGAGTGAAGGAATATTCAAAATTTGGTGGATATCATTCTGGTTGCTTTCTTTTTCTGTAGATTTCCTCTGTATTTCTTAATTCAAAAAATTAATGTGAACTTTTTTTAGTGAAACACAAGATTATATACTGTATATGTAAATTACATACTTTTTGTATATGATCTCTTTGCCCTCCACCTTGATAACTAAATGGGCATCTTCTGACACAAGGTTTATATAAAGCCTTTTAAAGTATATGGGTCAGAGCACTTACATTTTCCAAGTTATGTTTCATGTGAATTATACTTGAAATATTTCTGATTGTATCAAGTGCACGGTACCTTCATTTTGTGGTTTTTGTTTGAGGTTGGATATTAGTCAACCTTGAATTCTATACTAGTGTCCTAATGAATAAGCTAACTGAAATGCAAGACATTTAAGACCAACATCATGGGAGAGTTCTGTGAGGGCCAGAAGAGGATGTCAAATACAGAATTTCCCTGTCCTTGGCCTCCAGGAATTGACAGAGGCAGCCCACCAGTCACCAAAATTCTTCTTAGACCAGAGGCTTTTGAAAAATCCAAGTGCCTTGGATATGAAACATATGAAGTCACAGTTAGGAGTCAGGACCCTAGGTCCAGATAGGAAAGCAGATTTAATACCTCCTTAAATCAACTTGGCTAGAATTCAAGACAGATAAGCCTTCTATCAAACTGGGCTCTGTACAGAATTAATGCTTTATGTATGAAGTCCCAAGGAATTATCCTTCAGCCATAGTGTGTATATCTGCAATTAAGTATTTACTGGTTTACCTCTTGATCAAATGTAAACTCTGCAAGGGCTGGGATGTCACCTGGTTTATTAACCATTATGTCTGCACTGCCTAGAACTATGTCTAGCGCTAGTGAGTACTCAGTAGACAGGGTCCAAGGAACTGAGTAGCTGAAGAGTCATTAGGGATTCCTGTATTTCCAGTACTTCAGACTTTATAGGATAAATAATCCAAATATTCCACTTTCTCTTGATTATACTTCTACCTTCTTTTCTATTGCTGCATAACAAGCCATCCCTTTAACTATCATTTGTTTGGTTCACAAGTTAGCAATTGGGTCAGGACTCAGTGGGGACTGCTCATCTCTGCTTCGTGTAGTGTCATGGGAGTGGCCCAGCGGGGGCTGGCGGGTCCACTTGTAAGATGGCCTGCTCACCCCAGAGCCTGTCCATTTGTTTCCTCACAGCATGGCAACTAGGTTTCAGGAGCAGGAAGCAGATAACTCCCAATCTCTTAAGGCCTGGCCCAGAGACTGGCTCAGTTATTTCCACTATATTCAACAGGTTAAAATAGACACTAAGCCCACCCAGACTCAAAGTGAGGGCACACGGATACTCACCTCTCGGTGGGAAGAGTGTCCAATTTGTGGCCATGTTTAAGTCTGTTACACCCTCTATCTCTAGATCGGATAAGTGACATCAAGTAGCCTTGTGCATCCCCAGTTCCTACTCCCCAGATACAGCCACCTTCAATTTTACGTTTCCTGTGATAATTTATCTCTGAATTTCTACCCAACATGCTGATGCTATGATTTCTTGGTTTTTCCATTTTAGACATTACATTTAGACATCAGATGTTTAAAAATAATCAGAGCTATCTTCCCTACCTTTTTTCCCTGGACACATCTGTCTGGAAGCCCTCTGTCCTGTTGTGATCTGGGCTGTCTGGACAGATGATAAAAATGAAGTGAGCAGGGTGGCAACTTCAGGGATGTGAACATTAAAACGTTCCAAGTACTTCTAGTTAATGAGCTAAAGATTGCCTACTAAACATGTATGTTCAAGTGAGTTAAGTTGTTGAATAGAGAGTTACCCTTCTGGGCAAGGACATGAAATCCCCTACTCTAATCCCTTTAGGGTGTTCCTAAACCGTAAGTGACTTGAATGAATGCTGCACAGACTATCAAAATGTCTTATTTAAACTTGTCAAGGGATGGTTTATACACATTCTTAGGCAGATCGTTTTGTTTTGTTTTGTTTTTCTGTCCTCTATTGAATACACTTAAGTGGTTACACACAATTACTCCAACTTGTCAAGGGCTAAAATTTCCATTACAGTCTGGTGCCAATACCTGACGTCCACTGTCCTCTGCACAGCCTTTTTATTTTTAAACAGCAGATCCAGAAGGTGCTGGGCAGACCCACAGCAGTGATAATAAATACATAAGTAAGCAGGCAAAGAAATAAGCAAAAACATTGTTTTCAGTACAGAAAGCATTAAAATACAATAATCCTAAAGCTAGTTGTCAGGTATTTCCTTTTTATTATTTTTTATTATTTCTCCATACGGCCGTTTACCATAACTTCTGCAGTAAAATCCATGAGACCTCTGGAGGTGGAATTTAAGGACAAAGGAGAGGCTTCCATGTGCACCACTGACCACCATTCAGCTCCTCTCAAACAGTTCTGTGGCCTCTGCATTTCCCTGAGAAACAGGAGAGTCTCTTCAGATAGGTCAGGGATTTTAGTGCACAGCAGAGTTATCCGAGATGCGTGTTAAAATGCAGATTTCTGTGACTCACTTCCAGGGTCTCAGCAGGCCTAGCCCGCGCACCAGGACTCCTAATTTTTGCATACACCTGAGTGGTTTGGTACAGGTCTCCACTACAGTAAAAAAAAAACACATAGACCCAGTGCCCAGGGCTGCTTTCCTTAACGGTCACCTAGCAGAGAAGCCTTGCAACTGCGCACTCACGGCCCCATCGTGTAATTACTGAGGCCACTGTCGCTGGATTTGGTGTACGCGTGGTGAAATGTCCTGTGTTCAGAGAGGTGAACACCGACAAAGGGCCGTGTGAACAACGCCCCGTCAGGACGCACAACATCAGCTTCCTGTCGGTGCCTCTCCCAGTCCGTCCCCACCCCGCAGGCCCCAAACAGCCGTGTCCATCACCGTCGCCCTAGCTGCGTGAAGGGCGCGGCGTGCGGCCACCGCTCGGCGGCAGCCGTTCAGCGGAGTCGCAAACTCGCCTTGCCGTGCACACCGCAGTGCCGGGTCGGGCGGGCATGACCGGCGCCCCACGCGGCCAATCGGCGCCCGGCTTGTTGATGGGTGTCAGGCGGCGCGCCCTGATTGGTCGGCACAGACCGGCCCCTTCCTCCTAGCTCCACGCTTTCAGGGCGTTGCATCACCTCTGGACACCTCTGGTGTAGCTGCGGCTCCTTTCGGGGTGCTCCAGCCCGGAGGCCCCTCAGGTACGCCCCGTGCAGCCCGCGGGGCCCCTCGGGTCACTCTGTCCTGCCCGCACGGCCGCTTCAGGTCACCTCGTCCTGCCCACGGGCCCCGCTGGTACTCCCCTTTCTGCCCGAGGGGACCCATGGTCCTCTTGGATACAGATTTTTTGTTTCCCATGAGCTGTGCGTTAATTTGTGTGCATATCGGCTTCTTAGGAGTATATTAGGAGGCGGTCTAAGTTGGGCGAAAGAACTCAGAACCAGGTACCAATCCTGATCTGACTCTCGGGGGGGCCGAGGGTTTCAACCTGAAGTTCCTCAGCTTCAGCCTGAGATACTGGTAACACTTAAACCGTTGGGTGGTTGTGAGAATTTGGTGGATCGAGCTGGCTGGAGACGTGCAGAAGGTGGACGAAATTACTTGGAAGTCTAGGCATTCCTAAGAACAAATCAAGTCTTAGGCTCCCATGAAGGAGCATTTATTGCTGGTTGTCTGGGATTAGAGGGAAGTAAGCACAGCGTCCTCCGTCCTCGGTTCTCACAGTCTAATAATACAATATTCCAAGCGCACAGAGGAGGAAGATAGTTCTTCAGTGGGATTTGGAGGTGGGAGAAGTCTTCTCAGGAACTGCAGTGGGTTTGGGACCTTGAAGATGAATAGGAGCTGGAGGGGGAGGGTTCAAGGGACCATAGTATAAAGTATAGAAGGATTTTAAAGTGTGTATGATTCAGGAGGTGGGAAGTTGCTGTAGTCACTGCAGCTGAGGGTGTGTGGGAGGAAAGATGTGATTTCCAACCTTAGGAATTTATGACTTTTTTCTTTAAGTGGTGTTTGAAATGAGTCCAGAAGACGAGTTTTTTTATTAGGTGGGACAATATTACTTCTAGCGTTCAGGTTTTGCGGAGAGCTCAGAAAGTATGAATCTAGAGGAAAAGCAATTGATTTAGAGATTTCTAGTAATATGATGAACTTTAAAAAAAATAAATATCAGTAAAGTGGTGGACAGTACATCCTCTTCATAAGTGATTAAAGAATGAATTATAGGGAAGAGAAGGCAACTAAGTGTAGATTGCACCCTAAATGTTTTTGGAAAGATGAAATAGTGACTGAGCAAGGGCAACAGAGTAGAATTTGTGGACAAAGAAGTAATAATAGTTTACATCAATGACGTGATTGTTGCAGGCTGCGATAGCCATTATTTCACTTAACATTAAATTAGCATTGTGAGTGTTTACAGCCTTTATTTTACTGATGAAAGAATTGAGGCTTAAAGGTGGAGTAACTTTTCCTATAGCTCACATACTAAGTGGTGGCACCAAAACTGTCAAATTCCAAAGCCAGTGTCTTAACCATTATCCTTGCCAAGAAGAGCCCATGGAGTGGGATAGATTGGAAAGGCAGGTAGGAGGAGTATTACTGATGGAAACTAAGGATGCTAACAAACAAATGTTTTTGAGCACTTAACGTGTGTAAGCACACACTGGAGGTTAGATAGTAAGATACTTTTGCCAGCAACAAGTTTAAAGTTGAGTTGGAGAATGTGTGGGACATGGAAAACAAATAAAGCGCAATGTATAGGAGAGGAACAGATTCAGAGAAGGGGGATATTAGTTTTGAAAAGGGTGGACTGGTGGAAGTCCCATAGAGAAGAGTACCTTTAAGCTAAGCAGTGCTAGAGTATGTGGAGAAAGGGTCTGATACGAGAAAGCTGTATGGCAGTAAAGCAGCTTTGTTTTCTCAGCAGTGTCCAAGGGTGTGATGTAGCTGGAGCTTGGGTTTTGTAAAAGGTCAAGAGTAGTAACTGGGGGTAAGATCATGGTGGCCCTGAGGGCCCCACTGAAAAGTTTGTATAGAAACCATTGGGAGTGAGGGGCCTTTCTTTTAGTGGGGGGAGTAATTAGGTTTTACTCATTTATTTATTATTTTCAGAGGAGATACTGGGAATCAAACCTAGGACCTTGTGTATACTAAGCATGCACTCTACTGTTTGAGCTGTACTCTCCCCCCCCTTTTTTTTAATATTATTAAATACAGAAATGATACTTTTCCAGTAGGAAGGTGGTGTTTAGGCTATATAGTATTTATTTTTCTCTTTAGTTTTAAAGTTTTTTATGATAAAGTTAATATATACTCAAAAAAAATCAAAGCAGATTAATATGAAGTAACAAAAATCTGCTCTTTAATGCCTTCCTCATCCAATCCTACTCTGGTGGTAGCCATGGTTAAGTTTGGTGGGTAGCCTTCTAAATTCAAATGCAGAATTACTTAAATAGACTTAGTATATGTATGTGTGTATATATATAATATATATCTTTAAAATGATATTATAATATCCATAGTATAAGTTGCTGTAAATGTCACTTGCTCTTTTCTTTTTCAGTATATGTAATATGTATATTTATAGATCATGATTTACTATTTTTAATGCCTGCACAGTATTGATGCACCATAATTTATTTTAGTCTGTTATCTATTCAAGGATATTTAAGTTGTTTTCAGGTATTTGTCTATAGAAATGCTTCAGTTAATATCTTTGTCCATATTTTATACATTTGTGGGGTGATATGTTAATAGGATATAAGTAGTCTGTGAAAAGGCTGGAGATGGACCCACATCTTGGGTAAAATTTGACTTAATACAACAGGTTATGAAGACCTGGGAATGAAGGAAAGGAAACAGAGAGATGGGCTTAGAAGTCAGACCCACGTGACTTGGTGATCAGTTGAATGTGGGGATCATCCAGTAGTATTAAGGTGACTCAGAATGTCAGGGAATGGGAAGGAATAGTGGAACTGCTAGTGGGATTAAAAATGGGAGCAGGTGCAGCAAGGGAGATCGTGAGATTTATTTTAAACAAAAATGCTTTTTGGATGCTTTTACAAAATCTGTTGAGGTAAACACAAGTGAAGGTCAAGGAGGGTGTCTCAAATTGCTGAACAGGAAGTTGAGGCTGAAGAGGTCTGAAGGAGTCATGGAGTGGGGAGGAGTGGTAGAGGCCTTGGATTGTGGTTAAAGGGAAGAGATTACTTCCCTGAATGTGAAGTAACCTGGTAAGGTTAATCTCCCTCCTCTTTCTGCTCTTCCTTCCCCCAAGAGCCCCGTGGTAGCTGGATGCTGTTGTGCAGGTACAGCTCTCCAGTGGATGTGAGGGGCCAGAGCAATCCTGTGATTTATGCATGGGGGCTGTTTCTTCTTAGCAGCCACCATAGCCCGGTCACTGATACATGGCTCTTCTGGACTAGTCTGTACCATTGCATTGCACCTTGGTGTTTGGCTTAGTAATGCAGCGATTCTGAATCTTTTGGGAAGTAGACGCTCTCTAGAAAATTTTGTACAAGTTTAAAGCCGTCTTTACAGAAAGCTTAAATTTCATTTTCTCAAAAAGAAGAAAATTCAGGTAGATATTCCTAAATAATGATCAGAAAATTTCAAGAGAATGACCTGAATTTTGATGTGCATGCTAATCCCCTGGGATCTTGTTAAAAAGCAGGTTCTGACTCCTCAAAACAAAGTGGGGCTTGCAAATCTGCTCTGATCAGCTCCCATAGACGCTGGCAATCACAGGACCAGCTTTGACAAGCATTAGAAGTGACAGAAATAAATGTGTTAATATCTAAAAATCTATTAGTCTTCAAATGTAATCCCTTGTGTTTCAGTTGGCCTCTAATAAAGTAGTCACTGAACCAGTGGGGCTCCTACTATATCAGTAAATGCACAGACTAACACCCCTCTCTTTCTGAAAGGCTAGAGGTTGTAACAAGAGCGGAAGATCCAAAATCCCTTTAAACTTCTACTTAATAACATTTAATGGCACACTCATTTAACTGAGTTGAGTTAAATGACCCATCTGCTCTTTTCTTAATTTTTTCTTATATAAAAGTCAAAGGTACTCTCACATCTCAAAAATAAATGAAAAGAGGGAAAAAGGAGAGACACAGCTTGTAACAAACTTAAAAAAATTTTTTTTGATGGCATGGGTTAATTACTGTGCTTAGACTTCAGTGTTTTCAGAAATTGGTTGAGGCATGTAAGTCTCTTTGGTCCTAGAGTCAGTTATCCTAGACTGTGTTACAGTTCTTGAATTCTTAAGGTTTTCCATCCTCTCTCTTGTTTTCTCATTATTAGCAATCCTGTCCCCTTCTAATCTGATATTGGCTTGGAAGTCTAGTTACCAACGGTCTTAGAATTATAAAACAAGAAGAAATGGGCTTTGAGGAGGAGTGGTCTTGAGGCTGCTTAACTAGAGAGTTAAGCCCTGATTGACCAAGTGTTTTTGCATGCAATTATTAACTCTCAAAAAGACACTTTTAAGAGTCCTCTCACTAGGTACTAAATCAGAGATGAATAGGGTTTATTCTTTATAAAAATCACCAATAAACAATAAAAATGATAAAATGGAAAATTAGAATGAGCTAGGAAATATTTGAATGTGATTCTTATCTTTTTAGCCTTAAAAATGTTTTAGATTTTACCTGTTTTCCTCAAAAAGAGTAGGTTATTGCAATAGAAGTGCTTTTTGTCTTGTGAATGTAGGTAAGAATTTTTACCTACATTGAGATTTATTTTTCAGATTATTAATGAATCATTCGAATTACCAAGACTGTCTTCTTTTAAGAAGCATTTTATATACAATTACCTAATGTTGCATTATAGTTGAAAAATGAGTAAAGAGTGTGAATTGGACAAAATTTTTATAATAGTTTTAAAAGTACCATGTATTCCTACCTCGCACCATATACAAAAATAACTCGAGATGGATCAATGACCTAAATGTAAAAGCAGAAACTTCACAACCTTGTTGTAGGTAGTGGTTTCTTAGACATGACACCAAAGGTTCAAGTAACAAAACAAATAAATAAACTGGACTTCACCAAAATTAAAAATGTTGGTGCTTCAGACAGTATAGCATGAAGAAAATAAAAAACAACGCACGGACTAGGAAAAATTGTTTGCAACTCCTCAAACTAATAAGGGACTTGTATCTAGAATATAAAAAGAACTCTTACAACCTAACAATATGAAGACATCCCAATTAAACAACGGGCAAAGGATGAATAGAAATTTCTCCAAAGAAGGCATAAAATGGCCCATAAGCTCAACATTACTAATCATTAGGGAAATATAAATCAAGACCACAGTGAAATACCACTTTATACCCACTAGAATTTCCTGTAATTCAAAGATGGACAGTAAGGGGTGAGGATGTAGAGAAACTGGAATCCTCATTCACTGCTGGGAGAATGTAAAGTAATGCAACAGCTTTGGAAAACATTTTGGCAGTTTATCAAAAAGTTAAACAGAGTTACCATATTATCTAGCAGGTATTTACCTAAGAGAGCTGAAAACATACGTCCACATAAAAACTTATACATGAATATTCCTAGCAGCACTGTCCAAAAGTGGAAGCAATTAGAAGATCCATGAATTGATGAATGGTTGAACAAAAAGTGGCCTATCCAAAAATGAAATATTATTCAGCCATAAAAAGCAACGAAGTATGCATCCAACATAAATGAACCTTGAAGTAAAAGAAATCAGGCACAATAGGCTTATATGCATAATTCCAATTTATAAGAAATGTGCAGAATAGAAAAATCTGGAGAGGCAGAAAGCGATTTAATGGTTGCCAGGGGCTTGGGGAGAGAGGGAAAGAGTGACTGCTAATATGCACTGGTTTGGGAGGGCAGGAAAGGGAGTGGTGATGAAAATGTTTTGGAATTTGAGAGTGGTTGTGATTGTACAACCTTGCAACTATAACCTAAAAAAAAAAGTAAAATTTAATTTTACACTTTAAGAAGATGAACTTTATGCTATGTGAACTTTACCTCAAAAAACCTGTAATTTTTTTTTAAACACCATGTAGTATCATGGGTAGTGACAGGTGTATTCACTTTAATGTATGGTACTGTTTTCCCTAGACCTCTCCTTTGAGAATAATAAATTTGATTTCTCTTGCAGTAACAAAATGGTTCAACAAGTGCCAGAAAACATCGATTTTCCTGCTGAAGAAGAGAAAATCTTGCAGTTTTGGTCCGAATATAATTGTTTTCAAGAATGCTTAAAGCAATCAAAACATAAGCCAAAGTATGTGAATTTCTTTGTTAAAAGTAGAGTCTTAAAAAATCATCATTTCCTACTCTAAGTTTCATTATGACAAACTCTTTATTCATCCTTGTGTCCCTAGAGTCCCCTACCTCTCTATGTAGTGTGTGTTCTCAGTAGTAGGTACATGTTGAATGAATGAGTTCTTCATTATTAGGGTAGATTCAGTTTCTTTAAGAGGTCTTCTGAATAGAGTTTATATATCATCACCCTCTTCCTTTATGCTTTTCTCCTCACCACCCTCATTTAAGCATTTAGACTAGTAATGTAGTAGCCTCATATTGGAGTACTTCCTGTCTCTAGTCTTCATTCACCTAAAGAACAGTTCTTTCTTTAATTACTTTTCCTTCATGTGTCTCCTATGCTCAAAAACTTTTTAATAGGCATTTGTTGGACTGTTTCATAGATTCGATAATTCAGGATCAGGGTAAACAACTTCCCTTATTTCATGGAGTTAATAAATGAAGAATGGATGGTCCAATGCAGGTCTCTCCAGCTCCATCATAATTAGCTTTTTTTTAAGGCAGGGACTCCAGTAAGTATCTTACCAGTTAGTTGTGAATTTCCTAGTCTCACGGCTTTTCTTCTCCCTGAAGACTCTTCTGTTACAGGAGCTATGTATAGAAAAATGCTGTCCTAAATTTTTGCCATCTGTTATAAAATAACATATTTTTATTACCTCTGTTAGATTTACCTTCTATGATGGGCCTCCTTTTGCAACTGGACTGCCTCACTATGGACATATACTTGCAGGGACAATTAAAGATATAGTTACAAGATACGCTCACCAGAGTGGGTTTCACGTTGACAGAAGATTTGGATGGGATTGTCATGGTTTACCTGTGGTATGTTCAAGTCACCAGCCTTAGAATGTTCTGATTCTTTATAAGCATTAGATTTTGTTATATAATATATTAAAGTATGAATTTTTACTATAATCAGACTTTCTTAGCTTTATTTCTATAATACTATTCACAGTTCATTTTCTCAGAGAACTAATTTTTTAAAATCTGTTTTATTTTCCAGAGTTGTTGAATTGGATTTGTTTCATAGGGGAGGGATGTTAACAATCTTATTGCAAATTTTCAGGAATACGAAATTGATAAGACACTGGAAATCAGAGGACCAGAGGATGTAGCCAAATTGGGGATTGCAGAGTATAACAGCCAGTGCCGAGCAATTGTGATGCGATATTCTGCTGAGTGGAAGGTATGTTGGACTGTTTAAGTAGAACGAACAAAAATTCTAGTTTTTAAATGGGAGTTGAAATGTTTCATGGTCCTTTGTTTTTTTTACGGCATGAAACCAGAAATGGGACATAAAAGAGCTTGTCATCCTCTTTAAAGGAGTGTTCAGCTTCTACCTTCAACTCCGGGACTTAAACTGTTAGCTTAAACTGAACACTTTCTTGTCTGATTTCTATATGCTTGATCAGTCTTCCATATTTAATCTCCTGTGCACCCACAGGATATGACTGGAATCATCCTGTTCTTGCAAATCGATTAACTTCAATATTGCATTTAAAAAATTCAGATGTTAAAAGCAATTCACGTTTGGACCCACTGTTTATTAATTTGACTTTGACCTTGTTTATTGCTTCTCTTGGCAATAGAGCTCTCACAGCTGGTACCTTTAATTAAGTGTCAAGTGCTGCCAGGGCTCTTGTCCTCTCTTATTCTGCTGGGCTTACGAACAAAGGTCCACAACTCCCCCTTTCCTTCCTGGCTCTCAGATTAATATATCTGTACAACTTAACATGTCTGGCTTGTATTTTTTCCCATCTTCGCTATCTTACCACTGTGACTGTCAAACCTGCTATTCTTCAAATTCCACATTCTGCCAAAGTATCAATCTTCTAGACTTCAGACTTTAATCCTCATAATCAAATTAAATGTCAAATCCTATCAAGCCTTTCTTCTCATTTTTTTTAACATTTTTTATTAATTTATAATCATTTCACAATGTTGTGTCAAATTCCAGTGTTCAGCACAATTTTTCAGTCATTCATTCACATATACACACTCATTGTCACATTTTTTTCTAAGCCTTTCTCCTTAGATTGCTTCTCTAGTAATTCATTCTGCAACCTAGCCTCTCACCCACCATTGTCTGTATCCCTGTAACAGTCTCCCAGCTGGTCTCTTGCTCTTGTTCTTGCCACTTGGCCTGCCGAGTCATTTCTCTCACAAGACTGTTTGTTGTGCTCTTTCCTGCTCAAAACTTGTCTTCATTATTTGATAAAATCAGATTTAATCAACCTAAATTTCGAAGCTCCTCAATTTTCTGCTAACCTAACTTTCTTTAATCTACCTTTTCTTGCCTAGTCACCAGTAGGGGAAAATCCTGTTGATTATAATATGCATGTGAGCCTTTTTTTGTTTTTTAAATTGCAAAAACATGAAGAGTCTCTGTACCCATCACCCACTTCTCAAAAGCTAACACCTTAAATAACGATAGTATAATTATCAAAAGTAGGAAATTGACACTGATCAACATTATACACCTTATTCAGATTAACCAGTTGTCCCACTAGTTTTTATTTCTGGTGTAAGATCCAATTTAGGAGCACAGATTGCATTTAGTTGTCATACCTCCTAAGTCTCCTTCAATCTGGAACATTCACTCAGGCTTTATCTTTTATGACCTTGTCACTTTTATTGATTGATTGGTTGATTGGTTGGTTGGTTGACTCAGATTCTGGGGATTGAACCCGGGACCTCGTACATGCTAAGCATGCCCTCTCCCACTGAGCTGAGTATCCTGTTTCTTATCATACTGTGACTCATTAATTTTAGCAACCATTGATGATTCTTGCCAGCAAACAGTAGACCTGTGGTCTTTGCTAAGTGGTAGTTTTGGTCAACTTTTATAAAGGAGTAGTAATACGTGTAAATAACTATCTACATATGGGATGAATGCCAAGAAAACTGGTTCTTAACCTTATATAATGTGTTATTTACAATATAGATTTACTTGAACCATTGATCTGTTTTTCCAAAATCATCATATACAGTGATAACAGAAGTAAAACAAAGTGCTGTACAGTAACAAATACCATTGTCTAATAACTCTTAATTTTCGTTTTTTTAAAGTCTACTATTACCAGACTTGGTCGATGGATTGACTTTGACAATGACTACAAAACTCTGTATCCACAATTCATGGAATCCGTATGGTAGGTTTGATTTGAAATTGTAAATATAAAGACTGTTTTGTTACTGCTTAGTAGATAGGTCCTCTGGCATGAAATCAGCTTGGTTTCAGGTCCGCAATTATTTGCCTGAAATCTCTGGGGACGGAAGTTAGGAAGATACGGAGATTTCCCATATACCCTATGCCTCCATACGTGCGGTGTCCTCCATTATCGACATCGCCTACCAAAATGATACATTTGTTACAATTCATGAACCTATGTTGACAGATCCGAAGTCCACAGATTAGGATTCACTCTTGAACACTCCGTGGATTTGGACAAATGTGTAATGACATGTATTCATAATTCTAGTATCATACAGAGTATTTGCATTGCCCTAAAAATCCACTGTGCTCCACCTGTTCATCTCTTCCACCCCTAGATTTATTTTTGAATTCAGTCAGTTTTGGATTCTAGAAAGATAATAGGTTATCCATATGCCCTGTAGTATATAATGGCCCTAGCAGAATAAGGAGCAACCTGTTACCAAATTCATTAGTATTTCTATATCAGAACATATTATTCACACTAAGTGAAATAAATAAAGAACATAAATGTCCTGATGTTAGTCAAAGCCTTTTTTGTCAAATTAATTGGTACCAAAGTTTAGGAAAATTAGGTCTCAGAAGTGAATGAGTTTGTTTGTTTTAAGGAGTTAAGTCTAAGAGATTATATACTTGAATTTTTTACTGAGAGAAGTTGTCTATGCAGTCACTGTTTCGTAACAGTTTCAAAATGAATTTTGCTTCCTCTTACTATTATAAGACAGCTGTTGCAGTGCCAGTCTTTAACTTGAGCCTCCTGCAGTAGTGTGAGAATCACTGCATATCAGTAATGGGCAAACCATTATTATGGCTGCAAAATGCCCAGTGTGCATGACTCAGGCCTTGAGGAAGTCTTACCTTTTATTAAATTATGCATAATCACAGGTGAGTTCAAAGCCCTTTTGTAGGATGCATTTTTTTCTGCACTGCACTATAGGCACTCATGCCTCTTACTGCCTTTCTGTCTACCTGGTCTCATTTTTGTTGCTCATGCTTAGCGTATGTCATTTGCCTTTGAGGAGCTTGGGGCAGTTCTCAGACTCTCTGAGTCTGACATGCCCTTGTGGGCACATCTTCAGACCCACATACCCAACAGTGGGAGCTGATCAAATTATCCAGCATGGCAGCAACTTTGGACGGGGGGTTTCCCATTTTATTGAGTAGCTGATTAAGTATCTTAAAAGCAGGAGAGGGGAGGGTGCAGCTCAGTGGTAGAATTCCTGTTTAGCTTGCATGAAGTCCTGGGTTCAATTCCCAGTACCTCCATTAAAAAATAAACCTAAATACCTCCCCAACCCCCCCAAAATTATAAAAAATAAAAAGCAGGGTTTATGTTAAACATCGAACAAAGAAGGTATTATTTGTGCTCTAGATCAGGACTTTTGAGAACTTAAATGTGGTTAGTATGGTCAAAAAACTAGAAATTAGAAATTTTAATAAATTTAAATGAGCACATGTGGCTGGTACTGCCATGCTGGACAGTGTAACTCTACATCATACTTCCTAATTTACATAAAACACACCTGAATGGAGGAAAGGAGTCTTCAGAGCCTCTTAGTATTAGAATGTTAGTCATTCCTGAGGAACATGTTGGCATATAAATAAGGCACTTGGACCTAAGAGTGAATTAAAAAAAAATAGTACGAGATACATTTAAAATGATAACATTAATTTAATGGTGATAATTTAGATAGAGTTGATGCTTTTGAGAATATAAAGTACTTCCACATGAATTTTCCCAGATGGTCCAGAAAGGCCTGTGAATTGGGTTAGGACCCTGTTTGAGGTAAAGGCAAGTGATTGTGACTTGCCTGAGATCACACAGCAAATTATGTGACTCTTAGGCTTGAATCTGTGTCTTATCAAATCTGACTCTCTTCTCTTGGTCTCCTGTGAATGTCCTTGCATCAAAGAATACAATTTAAGATTGAGCTTAACCTTGTGAAATTTGTTACATCTTTTTTTTTTTTTAACTTTATTCAAAGCCAAAGAAATCCATGAAAATATATGCACAGTTTTTCATTAAAATGTATTTTCGCAATTGGGGAAACAGTTTAATTCATTTACTGTGCCAACCACATAAGAACTGAACTATAAAAATGAATTAAATAAAGGCAGAGTTAAGCAAGGGTTCCCACCAAATGCATCGTGGCATCGAATTGGGAGAGGTGAATAGTCACCACAGGAGAACCTGGCATGACTGTTTTGCAGTGTCTTGGCACATGTAGCTTAAAGCAACACGTTTCAGTGTTCAGTCAGTTTTTGACTAACTGTAAGAGAGATACCTGATCCTAATCCCAGTGGTTGTACTTTTTAAATTGCCTTTGTAAAACTATCCATCATAGTGAGATTTAAGCAATACACCAGAAAATTATTAAGAAGAACAAACAGTCTAAAATCCCAACCATAGTTAATATATTGGTGAAAATCTATTTTGGTAGTCTCTCTGAAAATGTAAATATATATACTGATATGTACAGTTTAATATAATTGGTACTTTATTGTGCAATATGGTATCAATTGGTTTTCTCAATCAACCTTAATTAATGAACATCTTTCCATGTCAGCAGATGTTAGCACTTTTAATGTGTACATAATGTCTCATTATACTGACCTGTTATAATTAATTTATCAGCTATTCACCAGTTGACAGACCTTGTGTTTCCACTTATTTGGCTGTCAGAAACTATAAACAGAAACTGGCAAGAATGTTTGCATTTGGGGAAACAGAACTTTGGTTATGTAATTGTTGTAAAATTCTGTCTCTTGACTTGCCAGGTGGGTCTTCAAACAACTCTACAATAAAGGCCTTGTTTACAGAGGTGTGAAAGTCATGCCCTTCTCCACTGCATGCAACACTCCGCTCTCCAACTTTGAATCTCACCAGAATTACAAGGTATGTGAGACATCATTGGGCATTGTTATGTGCTCAGAAGTCTGATGGTCGTGGTGACCACAGTAACTTAGCCCCAACGTGGAATGTTAGCCTGGGGAGTCGTTCAGTTTGACCGCTTCTTACTGGTAATGTTCCCAGTCAATGAACCGAGGCTCTGTTAGGATTAAAAATGAGGGGTTTTCTTCCCTCCGTGAGATTTGTGATTGATGTGTCTTAATGCGTAGGTTTTGCTTGTTTTGATTATATTTTTATGCCTTTCTTTGTTAATAAGTCCAGCTCTGCTGTATTTCCCTCCAGGCACTATCTCATAAAGGTTATCAGCTTGGGTGTTTTTATGCCTCATCTGAGACCTTATAATATTGTTTATTTGTTGAAAGTATCTGGAGGAGAATCTGATTTGGGATTGGTGAAGTATTATGGTCTTGTCTTTGATGAATGAAATAATTTGGTGTCATTGGTATAATAGAAGAGTTTTGGTGTGTCTTGTGTTTACCAAGTGTCCTCCTTTACTTTTTCCAGAGAGTAGGGGCTGTAAGTCGTCAGAAATAAGAGCTGTCTGTTCTCATGTGTGTATATTCAAGGGGTGTTGTTATTTCTCAGAATTTATCTAACCCTCTTTGTTTTTAAACATTGATTTGTTTGGAATTCTTATTTTATGGCTCAGGTTTGGAAATTATATATTAAATTTTGCATTTCAAAAGCACTTTTCATCTTGTAGAATGCTTTCACACATCCCGTTGGATCTTTGCGTGTCCTTGTGAGGTGGGTGTGATGATTCCTGTTGTCTTAATACCCTTCTATGATAGTGTTCGTGTTACTGTATTTTTTAATAAAATATTTTAAGCATATAAAAATGCAGAGGTAATATACTAAGTACTTGGGTACCAAAGGCTTAGCTTTGTCAAATCTTAATATATTGCTGTATTTGCTTACTTTTTTAACATGGAGAATTTCAGGCATACACAGAATAAAGTAATTAACTCCCATGTGCCTCTCATGTATCCCCAACAACCTCTGTGACCAATTCTGCCCCATCTACACACATTCCACTTACTTCTCCCAGACCCTTTTTCAAAAGCAAACTTCAGACATATTATTTTATCAGTAAATAACCCATTATATGTCTTTAATAGATTAAAAAAATCTTTGTCTTTTAACATTACCATAGGTATTATTATCACACCTTAAAAAGTCACCATTAGTCACGTTTAACATTCTTTTTTTTTTTTGTCATAGTCAGTTTACAATGTTGTGTCAATTTCCAGCGTAGAGCACAATTTTTCAGTCACACATGAACATACATGTATTCATTGTCACATTCTTTTTCACTGTGAGCTACCATAGGACCTTATATATATTTCCCTGTGCTATACCGTATAAACTTGTTTATCTGTTATATACATACGTGTCAGTATCTACAAATCTCAAACTCCCAGTCTGTCCCTTCCCACTCCCCTCCTCCCTGGCAACCACAAGTTTGTGTTCTTTGTCTATGAGTCTGTTTCTGTTTTATGTTTAAATCTCTAACATTCTTAATATTAAATGTTGTGTAATCGTTTAATTCCTGGATATCATCAGTGTTCACATTTCTATTTGCCTCGTAAATAGCATCCTTTTTTCCCTCAGGTTATTTTTAGATTTTTTTTTCCAATTAATATGTAAGTAAGGTTCATCATACATGGTAATAGTTGTCATTTAATTGTTTTAATATGTAGATCTTCCATTTCTTTTTCTGTCTTTTTCTTCTTTTTTCCTTGCAAATCGTTTGGGAAACAGGTTTTGTCTTACAGAGTTCCCCAGAATCTGAGTTTTGCTGATTACGTCTCCATAGTCTAATTTAACATTTTCTATCCTCTGTGTTTTATAGAAATTAGCACTTCATTTTTATGTGTGTTTTTTCCCTTCAGCATGTGTGTCATTAACAGACGTCAGTATTTGTTTGTGTTCTTTGAGGGGGTGAGTGGGTTAAAATTTATATATAATTAAGTGCATAGATCTTAAGTGTACCATTTAATGGGTTTCAATAAATACACCTTTATTTTGTTTTAAATACATCAGATATTACAGATAATAGTGGATTTAGTTTTGCCTGGTTTGTACTTTGGAGAAATGGAAGGATCCGCTGTGTGTTCTTTTATTGTCTGGCTTTTTTCGCTCAGCATTGTGTTTGTGACAGTCATCCATGTTCTGTGTAGTTGTGACTCTTTTGCGCTAATTTCTGTGTGGGTGAATATACCACAGTTTATTTATTTCCTGCACCTTTCTCTTTTTCCATTTCCTTCTTACATCCTGATAGGTAACCACTATACTGAATTTGGTGTTTCTTTCCCATGCATATTTTTGTATTTTTACTATCTACATAAGTATTCATAAACAGTATATAGCATTGTTCTGTATGGTTTTTTAAATTT